ACGGGCCTCCGATAAGCCGGAGGAACATTCCGTCGTGCAATCGAACGCGTGCATGCGTCAAAATGTTAAAGACCGGCGCAAGGGGGAACGAAAGGGGGAAAATAAATAAATCATGGAACGACGACGAGAATACGACCGTTCGTGAATTAATCAGAGAAAAGGCGACTCACCATCACGTGCGGTTCGCGCACACGGCGGTGATCGCGAATGTCGCAGGCCGTCGATCCTTTCGTCGATCGCGTGTCCCACGCCGCCGCCACGGTTACACCCATGACGAATATAACTCTCGGCGCACAATGTATCGGACTTTACGAGTGCCCACCTAGAAAAAGAAGGAACACGAGGTGATGGGATGGCTACGGTGAGACGGAAGGGACGAGTCGGAACGGGAACGACGATGGGGAGCACTCAGATTTTATTACGTTATTTTGTTAATGCAGTGAGCGAAGCGAAGGAGAGAGAAGGAGGTGGTCCACGCGCCTCGAATGTCCGGCCACGAAAAAATATTATGTCCCTCAGTCAGAAAATGGGCCATGAAATCTTTTTATGCCCTCCGACGCCACCCCGTCCGCAGAATTTCACCTATGCGCCTCCTTCGCCGACCGCGGCTCGCGCCGAGTCGTCTTCGAACGACGCGAAGAGCGGTGCGAATTGGCGGTTCGTACACCGAGAAAAAGATTTCTGTGGTTTAATAAGATTTCGTTCATTTAACCAGTTAACTGTGGCGATCTCTTTGCAAAGCGCCCACCAGTGTGTGTCGCGATAATCAAGCGAGTTAGCTCTCAGGAAGTTATAAATCCAACTCAAATTATTTATAATATTCATTTGTTTGTTTCATTTCGTCTTGACCTCTAAACATTTTACCCATATTAAAATTAACGAATATAATTTAGTTTTCGCCAGGATTACAATTAAATATCAAACTGTAACAAAATTTTACCCATGACGGATATAGTCGTCATGACACAAGATTCTGCCACATCTCCATGACGGATATAGTCGTCAAACATACTTAACTGGTTAAACAAGCTTGTCTCTTGGAACAGAGCAAAGGAATGTTTGACTCAACAAACAGGATCGTTTGGTTTCTCAAACAATAAAATACCTTTGCGTCAAACGACACATTTTTTTCGTATTTTCATTCCAACATTACAATGGCTGTCACAAGCAATGAATTATTTAAAAAAAGTAACACTATGTTAGAAAAATATTAAAGAATTTTGATTTCAGTGGAACCATATTTGATATTTAATGAAATAAATTTTTTTTTACTGAGAACGAAATATTACTCTCTCTTCTCTAAATAATAATATTTTCTCTATAGAACAACATGGTTTACTCTACTGGAACATTTTCATTCAAACAAAATATTTGAAATTAAATTGTTGTTTATATTAAATAAACCCAAGTCAAATAAACACGTATAATCCAAAAGGAAAACTTTTTCTCTGCTGGAGAAAAATTATATATATATATATATATATATATATATATATATAGATTTACGATATAATATTATACGAAATATTAAGACAGGAGTCTATGCTCGTGAAAAACTCAAAGCTGAAATTCAATGATCCATAAATCCTTAAATCTTTTATTTTCGGGCATACGTAGCCCCCGTGAGAGCAACAAACTGAGAAAAATAAAACATTAAAAAAGAATTGTTCCCCGCTGGCGCGGCGAGATTGTTTGGCTTGAAAGCCAAATCCGGATTTAAAAGATTAAACAATCCCTATTACTAGCTCCGAATTATGCGATATCGCGCGCAGCGACGTTGAGATTGAAACGCGACACGGAGGATCTCTCCGGTCGGAACGGGCTTACAAGTGCTTTAACTTCCACGTCACGTAATTTCGTTTCCGAATATTCCCGGAGACTCGTCGAGTTAGAACTACCCCCTCGTGGCTACCGGAACACACACGTCGCAGTTTCTTTCTTTTAAAAGCTACGGTGGCGGCGGACCACGCGGCGGTTAATAAAGAAGCCGCGGCGCAGTCGGCCGACAATAAGATACTGATAAGCGGAAAACATGTTAGGGGGGAAGGGGGTACGGCATAAATAGGGGCAGCCGGCGGCGAAAGAAGCCGTAAGCAGTTGCCGCACGTACGCAATTTTCGCCGCGACGACGTTTTCTCGCGAATGGCGGAGCCACGCTCGCGAATATCGTGTCCGCGCACGCGAAGGCTTCTCGAAAGCTAACGTCGCGGAATTAAACGGCCGATTTTCGGGGTCTGCGTCAGCGAAACGGGACGATAGCGCGCGTAAATCCCACCGTCGAATATCTCGCAGTCTCGAACGTCAAGCGAGTGCTTCACACTCGACGTTTAAGATCGGCTTTGGGTACGCTCTCTCGTCGTCTTAAGGGCTGCCACGCGCTTCCCCGCGAGGGCGCCGGGACCGACGTGTCTGTCAATAAATACGCCCGGAGGTATTTTAACAGCTGTAATAATTTTCGTCGCGCTATAAATCAACGCGCGCGATATGCCGGTGCGATGTGCGAAGGGCGCACCCTTCGGGGACCTTCCACGCGCGCGCAGATTCGCCGGCACAAAAGTGTCGGACGAACCATGGGTCTTCCCCTACTTCCCGCGTTTTTAATCAAACTCTTCGTTCCCGGCGATTTCAAAGTCGCGAGACACGTGCGTGAAAAATGCGTCGGCTGAGAGTATCTATAATTTTGAAAGCTCGAAATAAATAGGTTCGCTTCTAATTTCTCCGCGAATTTCTTTAGTTTTTGTCCCAAGAGTGGAAAAATTTGTTTGGAAATATTCACGCGTGTTTGTAAAACCTGTCAGATTTACTTTTTGCCGTAAAGGAGGCGAGAACAAATCCGCGGAAAATATGGGAAAAACTCGGTTTCTTCCGAGCTTTTAAAAGAGTATAAGAATATCTGTCGGGTAATTCCGCGCGCCACTCATGTCGCACAATCCGCCGGTCGTTAATCGCAAAACGCGCCATACGTTGCCACGTACAATAACGCGGGAGTGGGCGACACAAATTGTACGTTCCCAACGCGATCAACTATGAGGAACTCTAGAGCGCGGCTTGTCTAGCATTCCTGAAGGTGTGCGTGTCGTATCGATTCTGGCACGGCCGGAACACGCGGTATAACAACCGCGGTAGTCTCGGTGAATTCCTTGCATGAGTCACGGGAAGTACCACCACGTCTCCTGCTCCACTTAGAGTACAGATAATCACGCGACGAGGTATAAACCCGCGAAGGTGCTCTGTCGCATGTTTCTCTTCTTTTAACGGAACTATGCATTTCTGCGTACACCGTGACACACGTCGAGGGAATGTTTCCGACCGGGACGGGCTCATCATTCTTAAATTTAGAATAAAATATGTACACGCACACACACATGCGAGGGTGATGAGAAATGCGCGAACTTCTTCCTTCCTTGGCACGAATTAGATAGAAGAGTTAGTATTATAGCCCCCTATTTACATTTTGTACAATTTCATCAATAACCAGTATTTTAAATTGAGAACTAAACGATTACATTCGTCAAAGTGTCGTCCATTCGATTCTGAACCCAAAATTATGAAATATTTATTACTTAGGACGTTATTTATTTATAAAAATATAGCGACACTGCGTATGCACCGCAGTCTCTTATATTAACATGTTACTCGGCACTTATTCAGCATAATTTGAAATGTGTACAGCCGAATGAAATATTAAGTAACGAGTAAAGCACTCAAACGTACACATACTCGTATGATAATACGTTCAAGTTTAAGAAGAATAAGGAAGTATGTATTATTAATGCTAAAATGCGCTGAAATCGTTTCGAAATGTTCACGAGTAAAAATACGTTATAACAAATTCTTATTGTGTATTGATGTAATTTCGCCTCGAGTAATCCGTGTCGAGCCGACGACGAATCGAAGAATCGATCCTCAGAGCGAAATCAATCCGACGCGGTGATAGCGAGAAGTTCGAGCGACACATCGCGCCATTAAATTTATATGAATCGCCAGTCGATGCGATTCGCCGCGCCCGTCGGAACGTGACGGCGAATCCGTCACGAAGCGCCGTCGCCCGCGAACAGCCCACGTGTAGCGCGCGAAAGTAGGTATCGCCAACGACGAAATGTCAAATTAGAGAGAGAGCGAGAGTCCACGTCGCGCCGGCTAATGGTTTTCCGACGAGCGCGAAATAAAACGTCGCGCCGGATAATTCGACAGCCGTGAAAGCACGTGGCCGCATCGTTAAGAAACACGTCATATTATACCTGCGACGAACGAGCGAACGTGAGAGAGAAAGAGAGAGATAGTCGGCAGAAGCGGTTTACATGTTTACCCTCGCATTTACATGTCGCGGTAACAGGCTCGATGTGCAATGACATCGTGCGCACGGGAAAAGACGATACATCATAATTCCGGGCTGAAGATCGAATCAATCACTCACTCTTGCAAGCGTATGGATGTGTGTGGGTACGTGTATATGTGTGCTTGTATAAAGTTGCACGCACTCGTGCATGCGAGCGAACAAAGGAAGACACCACGGTACCGTTGATCCGCTAATAATTTTTCACCCGGTCGGATTATACCGTTGTTATTATCGAATGTAATAAAACGCTTCAATGCGAATTCGTACGAATACGATCGCTCGCGAGATCGCATTGTGGATGGCTGCGATAAATTTTCGGTGGAGCGCGGAATGCGTTCCCTTGTAAATAACGTCGGTGAGCCGATAAAGCATAACGAGGCGTACTCTAATCGGCTCCCCCTCGCGATTTTTCAATCCCCGTTTTACATTTCGTGACGTATTTTCCACTCGGGAGGGCATGCGGAAAAAAATCCACAAAGCGAGCTCGAAAAATCGCCTCGCCGGAAGTCCCGCGCGAAGCGAGCGAATCAAAAAGGTTCATACATTCTCCATACATATAGCCATGTACAAAACATATCAAACGCAAACGCATGGTTAATAACGGTAGACATCGCAAACCTTAACGCCAGTCGTGCCCGCACATATGCATACAAGAACTTTTATTTTCAAAATATGACTGTACGATAGCTACAAGTATTTTTCTTCTCGTTTTATTTGCCACATGTATCACGTATAAAAAGGATGAATGAGGTAATAAAATAATGTTCACCATGTATTCCACTGTATCAGAAATGTCACTTCACTTTGTATCTCACACCTCTGTGAATCTGATATTAATGGCCCAATTTCAATATCTTTCCACACAATGTGTCTGGATTAAATACAAATAAATTATTGTGCGGCGTGCCCTTTTGTGATACAGCCTTGATTATTTCCTGGGCCATAACACCGCCGACGATAGCGCAAACCGGACTGACTTGCGCGTACAAGTCGTTTCTATAATCGCAAAAATACACAACATACTTTACAGTCACATATAAACTCTTGAAATTAATGAATATTCGCATAGCAATTATGTTATATGTACGTACTCTATTAAATGATCTATCGTGTTCTCGAGTTCATACTTCTCAATAATTTGAGAAGCTATATTTTTCAGATTCTCAGAGCCTCTCTCGTTAGGTTGTGGATCATCGCCATATTTCTCGCGATAATTCAGCATTACTGAAAAAAAAATCAGAATAGATACAATAATTATCACTCAGAATATTCAATAAGTCTAAATTATTATTCAAATTTATTATCCAAAGTACCTATGGGACATACTTAGCATCATATGATAAATCTCCGACTCTTTAGGCAAAGATGACTTTGGTACGTACAGTATAACTTCAAAAGGTACAAAAATATCGGTGTGTTTCTCCGTAACTGTTATGCTTTCAAACTTTTCTTTCACCATGGGCTCACCGCTTTCTGGTATTTGTACTTTCCTCGTTTGCACAATATCCCTGAGAAATTATATTTTATTTACAAGATCAGTTTTTAAAATATATTTATAAAAAATATGAGCGCACATACTCTGCATATTCATGTTCCAGCAGATCTGCAAATGTATATCCAAGCGATCCCCATACATCCCCGGCAAAGAATTTGACTTTCTGTTCCCTGCAGACTCGATTGATCCTCTTGAGTTGCGTTATGGTACAATGTGTGGCACATACTACGTCAAATTGTCCAAAATACTCATCAGGCTTATCATCAACTTTTGCTGTGTCTGCATTGACATTGACCATAGGGTTCAAATTTTGCGCCCTTGGTAACGATGCTTCGGCTTTCTGGAACGAAGGAATTATTTTAGTATACAATATGTTTGTAACAAGGGATAATATAACTTGTAACATGATACTTACATTCTTTCCAATGTCTTCTTTAGGTACAAAGAATTGTGAACATCTGTCTAAATTTGTCACATCTCTATGGTCGAGGAATGTAATAGCGTTGATTCCAGCTAAAATGATATTCTTAGCGATCTCTGCCCCAAAGCCATCCAGACCAATCAGAAGAATTTTGGCAGCGCGTAATCTGTAGTAAAAAAATACATATTACGAAATATTTTAAGAAAAAAAATGACAATATTCAAGATGTTATGATTCAAAGATATTACAAAATTCACTGTACTTTCATTTAACTATCACATAACCTCTATATTCGATAAATAATCAAGAGATGTATTATATCTTTTTGAAATCTGCCTCTCTTAACCATATATAACATATTGCACGCATAATTTGTGATTGTAACAGAAACCGGTACTATCAGTTTAGGTTAGGTTGCGATATACCTACCGTTTCTGTGATTCTAATCCCCACAGACGAATCTGCCTGTCATACAATTCGGCCTCCGCGTCTGTTAACTCTTCGTTGTTCTTCTTATCTTCCACCATTGCTAAAATTTCTTGTTTATCGACAAGTTACTTGATATCGTGAAAAACGCGCGTTACGATACTTGACAAACGTTGCGTACTTCACGTGCCGACTAATACCAACATAAGAACACTCACGTCAAATATGACGATACACGATCAATCGTCGTTATTCACAAAACGCGACACATATTTCGAACTGCGCTGAATATATATGATATACTGTAAATTGATAGGAGGCGCTCTTCTAATTGTCGTAAATCGATCAACAAATTTATAAGAAAAGCGATTGCTAAGTTGGAAACACTGTGTGTGTATGCATGTGTGTATGTGACGTGTTTGTTGTCGATTGTCACGAAGGGGCGTCGAAACGGTGTTTCAACCGACGCGTAGATTGTGTTTTTTTTGAAATCGTGATGAACAGAAAAATATGAAAAGTGAGCGTGTCAGTTTCAAATTATCAAATAAAACCTATCAAATCTAATCTCTTTGCCAATTAGAACATAGAATTTTCGCGTTTGCGAGAAACAGAGGTTATATCTCTCAATAGCAATTGACAATTCAGTCATATATAATCTGTTAACATATAGTGATCGGCTAATACGTCTCAATGAAACGATAAATGTGAGTATCACATGGATTCACGCAAATACTGAGGACAAGATTGCTTATTATACTCGATATTTTGATAATTGACACCTGCATCACCGAGTTTCTGACTAGACGAGCCGCGGACGATCGAAAATATGGCCGCTACGGGTCGCCACCATCCGGAGCGTCAACCTTATGTCGCAATAGTACGACTCGACGACGAGTCAGACCTTTTATATTTTTAATTTAATAAAACAGATTATTTTTATGACTTAATCGCAACTTAGAACACTCTTTTTAATAGTGCGAGACAGATTCGAAGCTATTTTATTTTCAAATGTTATAGTTCTACAGTAATTCAGAAGTTTATTTTCAAATAATATGATTTAGTGACAGATCAGAAATCTCTTTCATTTTCAAGTTTTATTATGAAGATGACGAATCAGATTAATTTTTGTTTTTATTTCAAATACTTTTAAGTACTGCAACTTAAAGATTTAATAACAAACGTGCTAAAAACAAATGTCCCATGAATCAATAAATCAGGGAACTCGAAATTTTTTAAATACCGTTCCGCGAAAATTTCGTACATTTGCATTTTTTTGTTGCCCAAACTAGTCTAGAATCCTGGATTCGGTATCGAGAGAACAAATTCAAATAAAAATAAAAATAAAATTGAATCATTCTTTTTCCGTCCAATTGCACGAAAGTCTAATGTTTATTTTTTGAATCGGCACTTTAAGTTGTAAAAATAATCTTTTTAATGCAATAAATTAAATTAAACGTGTCTTTTACATACCGGCAATTTATTCAAATAATATCGGTAAATTTGTTCAATGTTGAACGCTCGTTCAAATTTGTAGCCAATTAAAATTTATGACGAAAATTTATTAACGACCCCGTTATCGTTGAAATAAATATAGACAATACATATAAGCGCATCGTTACTATGCCATTATCTTTACCCTCTTGACCCGAATGTTGTGAAAGCTGACCTTGGCGGGATAAGTGTATCCAATCTGCAAGCAAACTGCATTAACCTTTCCGAGTCTTATAATGGCCGCGTACATGGTGATAAGAGTTAATTACGTGGAATTTATTGCTCTAATCAGTTATTAACTGCTCATGTATAATTACTTTAACGTGTTACTTAGACCATGACATGACCCCCTCGTACATTTCGTACATTTTGTCACATCATACTTGAAGAAATTTATTACGCTCTTGAGAAAATATTATTTTTTTATATTATATATCCCGATATAATTTTTTATCGTGTTTCTCTTTCATTTATCGTGATAAAATTCATGCATACACAGGAGAGTCCCGAATATATACTGAGTAAATATTAAAGAGGATGAATAAAATGGAGGAAGAGTATATCGAGAAGACGTTCGTCTACAAATTTCCGACATGCACCACGAATCAGGAATACACGCTGGAAGTACCGATAAAAATACCGTACCATGGCTCCATAAAAGAGCTGATGCACCGTATAATGTCGTCGTTTAAGCTACCCTGTTACGTCGAGTCGGACTTGTTAGAATCCCTGCAGCGTAATATTAAAGAGCTTACGCTGCAGTTTCACGATGAGAAGGCAGAAAAGCTTATCGACGCCGCCAAAGCGGGCACGCTGGATTTAGAGGATATAATTAAAAGCTGGGAGAAGATATACAAACAGAAGACGGTCGAATATTCGGATCCCATCGGGACCACCGACGAGGAATTATTCGCTGCGGCGTATCACAGACTGGTGCACTCGCCGTCCCTGGAACCGATTCTGCAAGCGGAGCATAAATTCGGACGAGATGTCACCGAAGTGATTCAGATGAGGGACACCGACTACGAGAACCTCACACAAAAGTCAGTATGATCTCATGGTTTTCTCTCCTATTCCCGCGATATTTTTCAACGTATACAAGCGAATTGTTTCACACCTTGTATGTCGTTTGAAAAATGTAAGATGTGAGGAAGTAGCACAAGAAAACAATTGTTTTAATTGAAATAAATATCTCAAGATAGCAGTTTCAAGAATGTTAAAAGCCCTTACACGGAAAAAAAATTAGCAAGAATATTTTCAAATTAAGAATTGTATCAGCTCGAGAATATCGTCTTTTCTATCCAATCTTTTTTTTTCAATTCTTAAAAATTAGTCTTGAATAACAAGAATATGATATTTTTAATGGAACTATATAGAATTTCTTCATGTAAATAAGTTTTGTCTTCATATAAGACTATATTCTTTGCTTATATACGAAAATATGAGTCTTGAATTGATATTAATTTGTTTTCCTGTGTACAATCGAAGAATAAAAATCAAAGCTTGATAGGGGCATTCAACGTTTTAATAATCAAGAGAAGAAGGAATCTCTTACAGAGAGGGGTAGAAAAGGGTTGTATTGTGTGACTTCCAGACAAACCGACGAGATGCGCGTTGCCGTGGAGGCTCTCGAGGCGGGCTCCACGGAGAAGTCGATAAACGATATGGCAGGCCGCCACTTCGAGGAGCAGAGTTTGTTGCAGGGTTACTGGGGATCCAGGATCGACGCGTTGAAATTGGACCAACGGCGGCAGTATCGGAACTGGATCATGAGGCTGTTAGAGGAACAACAGACCAGCATGATACCCACCCCGGTGTAGGTTTTTCTCGTTCTCGCGCGATTCAATCGCAAGCGAGAGGATTTTCACGAATTTCCTAAAAAAATGTCTCTCGCGTTCTCGCACGACAGTGGCTCGCCTATGGTGCCGATACCGCCGTTGCGCCCTGCCTTGGACAAGTTCGTCCACAGCGAAGAGAAACACACGACTGACTACCCGCTGTTGGAAGAGAGTTTCACCATACACCTGGGCTCTCAGATGAAGCAGATGCACAACATACGCATACTAACTGGCGACGTGCTCGACTTCTGCCGCACGAAGAACAGCGAGTCCGGGTACGTCGTGTAATGATCCCAAAGCCTTGGCCGGATTCGGTCGGAAATTGCAGTAAAAATATATTGAATTTAGGATGGATCCAACACCACAGAGGCTGCAAACAGCCCTGGGATTATACTCGAACGACCTGTGCGGTCTAGTTCTCCTCAGCGACAACCATCTGGGCAGTTATTCCGGTATCACGAAAGGTGCTTCTCGAGATACGTTAAATTAATGAAATAAAATAGAATTCATTTGCTCTTTGTTTCTATTTGATTTTTGGGGATAGACATATATATTCCTGAAAAAATTACGACATTCTAGGTCAACATCACGAAAAGTTACAATCCCGAAAACTGAATACCGGGACAATCTCCCGAAATATTTGAATCGTCCCGCAAAATTATAACTTTGCGAGATAACTTCATTTTCATTTTCTTCTCTCAATATTTCGAAAGATTATCTCGATATTCAGTTTTTTGTGACCTTTCGGGACGTTTCGCTTCTCAAATTTCAGGATTTTTGGTTTTTCGGGATTATACATGTCCAATCTCTTGAGAAGCTATTAAAGCTGTTGAGGAGGCTGCTTTTCAATGATAAATCGCATCAGTGATTTCCATTTTCGGATAATATGATCCGTCTGGTCAGGATAATTTCGACAAATGTATCATTACAGAATTATGCTCGATCTCTCAGTTAACGACGGAATTCCACTTCCCGCCGATCGACGAACAGTTGGAGAAAATTCGGGAGGACGTGAAGGACGCCGTCGCCTGGAGGCAGACGCACCACAGAGAAGGGAACGAGGCTCACGTAAGAAGTTTAGAACTTAACTCGGGTTTGCGATCGTGACTCGCGCAAAAAATCTCACGCGTTATTTGCAGACGAAAAAATCCACGACGAGCAAGAGCTTGCAAACGGGCGACGTGTTCATCACGAGGCATTCCAATCTGGCGCAGGTCCACGTAGTGTTCCACATGGTGGTGAACGATTCCCTGAGATCCGGTAAGTGATCGGGACCGTCGGTCTCGCGCGATATGCCTCAAGTAGAATGCGACTTTTCAAGCGCGATATTAATTCACCAGGCGATATCAACTCGAGGCATCCCGCTATTTTGGGACTGAGAAACATACTGAAGACGGCGTGTTGCAACGACGTGACCACGCTGACAATACCCGTGTTACTCGTCCACGAAATGTCAGAGGTAATCTATCGCTTAGATAAACACACGCTGCAGGGCCCGATGAAAATATAATTAATCTACGTTGACGCATACACACATACGCAAACGTACACGTACGCATACAATCTGCAGGATATGACGGTCGCCTGGTGTACGAAGCGGGCCGAGCTGGTGTTCAAGTGCGTGAAGGGATTCATGATCGAGATGGCGTCCTGGGGTGGCGCCGAACTGAAGAATCTGCAGTTTCTCGTGCCGAAAGTAAGTCCGCGCGGCACGATAAGTGTAATCCGCCGGCACAGATAGACGAGGGGGAAAAACAAAAAGTAAAATTGAAGAAAGGTTTAATTCGAGCACACTAATACACCGCTGGTTTATCGCTTGCAGGGAATGTCGGAGGAGGTGTTCGGCACGCTGGCCACAATGTTGCCCAGCATATTCCGCGTGTCAAATCCGTTGGTTTTCAAGGCCACCAGCACCCCGCAAACCCCGAAGAAGTGAACGACCCTGTCCCGCTCGCGTTCTTCGCTCTCTTGCCCGTGTTATCGTCGCGAGCGCACGCTCGGAATAATACTACGGTATTTATTACTATGTATCGCGCGCGCTCGTACACGCAGACAGCAATTATCCGTTCGCGGGCGCGAACAAGATACGATTCTGTGAATAAATGTCTGGCATTTAATGAGCCTTTTGTTTATATTGCTTTCACACGGAGTGATTTCCCACCGAGGCGAGGGGCCGATAGCAGGCCAAGCAACTTTTCTTTCATCGAGCCCCTGACTACGTAATCGCTCGTTTTGTTTTTCTTTTCTTTCCGACTGCATCTCCGAGTGTTGTTAATAAAACGTTTCGACACCTAATCTCTTCCCTTATCCCGCATGACGTTGACTCCTTATCGACGAAATTGTTGCTGAAGATTTCCCTGTTTTATCCGAAAAATTTGCGCAAACGCACACGCGCAATCTATTTCTCTGAGAGAGGGGGGGGGGGGGAGATACGGTTAGATTTTACAAAGACGCGTAATCGGAACAGAAAACGAGTGATAATGCCAAGAAAATTTGTAACGCGCAATTTTCCGTCGGCAACGGCAAATATATATATGTATATATTTATCGTCGTTAGACGGAGAGCGAAGTTTATCACATAGTATTTTTATCCACGGACCATGTCGCAGCAGATATAACGCCGCTGGCATTTCGAATGCGGCGGCGGCGAGCGTGTATCGCGAGATGCGGGCGCGCAGTGTCCCGTCGCGGAGCACCGCGCTGGTCCATCTAACGAGCCATAAATTTCGCAAACGCGAAGATACCGGGCGCGTTTTAATTGTAAGGAACGCGAGCGCGATTAATTGCCATTAATTGCCGCCGCCGGCGAGGACAATCGCCGGCCTCGGGGCGAGAATAATATCGGTGGATTCAACGTGCACGGCGGCAATCGGACTCGTGTAATCGAGCCGGCTTATCTGGAAGCGGTGCGTTAGCCTCGGCGATTTTGAACTTCTGACCGGGAATGGATTAAAGTTAACGCGCGACATCGGCCGACTGGTTTTTGTAGAAAAATATTTGCCGTAACTTGCACGCGTCGATTCGGTTTTATCGAGTCGCGGCGAATAAATGGAGCGCCGGAGCGTCCGGAGCTCGCTATAAGCCAAATCCGCCCGTTCGCCCGATGACGCAAGACGAATCAATTAAAAATTCACATAGAAGCGCGCAATAGGCGACTCGATCGCATTGTATCAGCCGAGCGACGGGATAATAATTTCCGCCTTGAATCGATCGATCGATCAAATCGCGTTTCGGACGTGTCGTCGCGAGGAGGTGAAAATTCGACGATTTTCCGAGCGACTCCGGGAATCGGTCGGAGCGCTGAGTGCAGCTGCAGTGATGCAGCTGGTATTCCTGCCCCCCTCTTAATTCGGCACCGCACAATCTTCGGCAGCGGAGTGCCGCGGATGAATTCGTTGTCATTCCATCGGATCGTTGGGAGGCGTAAGTCCACGCTAGGTGGTCTCGGTCGCGGTGGTGCCGATCGGTGGTGCATCGAAATCGGATCGTTCCGGAAAATCGACTGGTCAGATAACTAACCACCTGGCACAATGCGGCCCGGATCGCTCGCGTGCCTCTTCATCGTCGTTACCTTCGTCTCGGCGAAGACGGTGGGTTTTGTCTTCTTCTTTTCGCGGCGAGGCTCGTTTTCCGATCGAAAATCCGTTCGCGACCGTCGGTCGTCGTCGTCGTGGACGACAGTCGTTTCACGATTCTATGGAACGTTCAGTGATATTTTCGGCTTGCAATCGGAGAATATCAACTTCCTGACGCGCTTATCGTCCTTTTAAGTTCCGTCGCCTTCTTGCGGAAGTAATCGCGACCGTGGTACAAATATGTTGGGATGCTGTTTCCAAGCTGGGTTTCTTAAATTTCTACTCGGCGAACGTGAACTTCGATTTATTTTTGCCGAAAATTTCTTGTAAAAAAAGCACGAGGTGTCGTTGAATTAACGTCAAAACTGTCAATCTCGATATTATCGACGTACACGTGTCCGCGATTAACAGCTCGAAGCCGGTTCGGCCGTGAATCAGCGAGAGAATGTCAGAAAGGGTTTGCGTTGCAGGTCGACCTGTCGTTTCGCGGATTAAAGAAGGAGGATTTCTTCGTGAGACTCCAGTCGCAGATTAATCTGCAGGAAGTGACGGATCTCAATTTGAGCGGGAACAAATTTGACAGCTTCCTCGACTGCTCCACCAATCTGGAAGCACTAAGAACGCTGGATCTGTCGCAGAATCACCTCCAGCGGTTCTTCTTCCTCTGTAAGGACGAGTATAACCTGCAGGTATTGAACGTGAGCCACAATATGTTGGAGTACATCGACGACAATTCTCTCAACGACCGAGTACCGAAGCTGAAGATATTGGATCTCTCCTACAACAAGCTCACCATCGTCAACGAGACCATGTTGGAACATCTAACGGTAATCAGTCTGACTGAAAAAAAGTATCGCTTTTCGTCTCGAATTTTCAAGAAAATCCCCTAACATGTCTCTAATCCCGAGATTCATCGACGAGGTCCAATTTCAGTTTGCGATCGCAGGTAAAATACGAGCGAAAAAATGCGAATTCGCGAGCGACTAAAAATTGCTTTCAGATCCTCGAGTATCTGTCCTTGTCCCACAACCCCATAGGGTACGGCATACACAACGGGGCGTTTTGGAACCTAAAGGCGCTCAGATACCTCGAGTTGCGGAACATATCCGCGCCGTTCTTCTCCGCCGAGTTCTTCAAGACCTTGGGGAACCTGTCGAGCTTGGATCTGTCGTGGAATCCGATTGACGAGATACCGCTGTTGCCGATGAAGTTGCAGCAGCTGGACTTGTCCGGCACGCAAGTGATAAGTCTGGAGAACCTGTACCTACCGCAGCTACGAGAACTGAAACTGGATCATATGCCGAACCTGACGTCGTTGACCCTGAACGACCTCGAGAATCTCACCAGTCTGGAGACGTTATCGATGATCGGTTGCAAACGACTGATACAGTTGAGCTTTTGGCCCCAGAGCGGAGTCGTGCTGCCGCGACTGCAACGCCTCTCGATAAAAGAGAGCGGCCTCACGACACTCGGCGTCGAGCTGAGCGCGTTGATGCAACGGGTACCGGTGATCGAGGTGGAGGGCAACCCGTGGAAATGCGACTGCAAAATGGAATGGATCGACTCGCTGAACGCGACGAGGCATCTCAGCCGAGATATCAGGTGAGAGACGATGCGACTCTGCGAGCGGCAGGTCGGCACGAATATCGATTGAAGATAAACAGGACAGACAGACGCGATATCATCGTTATCGCTCATCTTCTATTTATAATTTTAATTTATCAGCACGAACATCCGTTTCGAGAAGCGCGTGTTGCAAAAATGATACTTGTTGAATAACATCGATCGCGTGTTTCTCGTCGCTCGCGTCAAAGTTCACCTCCGGATTCACAGAGGTCTCGAGAATTCCGTGAACCATTCGGGAGCCCCCTCCTCCCTCTTTCCCCTTACCACGTCGGGGTTGTGCTTGGCTAAAGCCGAATTTATTCGACCGGGTTTCTCTTTCAGGCGACGGGGAAATGCGTTCCCGAACTGAATAATATCGAAAGTACACCGGGTAGTCGCGTGTAGACTCGCTTCAACGTTATCAGCAGGGTTACTCGTGCGATTTTCAACCTCCGACTTAAGGTCGAAAATCGCGGAGAGACTAGGCGAATAAGTGCTCAATGCGCCTGGTGTACGGATGTCTGAGTTGGTATTTACGTGTCGACAGATGCCACGCGCCAGATCAGATCCGCGGCAAGCTCCTCGCCGAGATACCGAGCTACGAGCTGCAGTGCGAGTACGACACGCCGATCTTCTACCCGATCCTGTGGACGAGCGTCTCGATATTGATTGTCGCGCTGATCTTCACTGCGGTTTTCATTCTCCTCCGACGGCCAATGGGCCAATGGAGCTTCCGGGGCAAGGGCCGCGACACCGTCACGTACACCACCGTCGTGGAGTCGAACAACGACCTGGTGCGGATACTCGCGGTGACCGAGAACCACGATCGCAACGACGAGTGAAGCCTTGATAGCCGATGCACGGAAGAGAAAGAAGTCAAAGTAAAGCACGACGAAGGAGATCACGGAAGATCGTGGAGCCAGTAAATAGAGAACGAGCTCCAACGAGCCCTGCGCCACCAAGATCTTTGTTAAGAGTTACTCTGTAGTAGTATAACGTAAGGTAATGTAATTGACGATTCATACGTATTCCGGGAGAGATCGTTTCCGGCCCGTTTCCTCACGAATTCGTCGTCGGTGACGGACGCACGATTCTCGCGAGATGTGAAAATAATAACGGGTGTCTGTATGCGTGTGCGAGTGTGTGTGCATGTTACTTCGAGAAACGGCTCTGTTGTCTGCGATATTAAGATCCCGCGATAACTCTTGCGAAAACGGGATTAACCCTGAGAGTAACACCCGACCCGCGATCTTGACGCTGAAGTAAGTAACCACCATAGGTCTCTCAGTCCTATATCACGAAAAAGATTGTAAAGATCGTGGTTTTTGGCGTTTCTTTCCGACTTTTACGAATCATTCAGTTTATCGCCAATTTTTATTTATTATCTTTGTGCATATAAAAAAAAGCACATAAGCCGTATTTTTAAGCCCGGTTGTCGCTAGGAAACCAATTTACCTCATTGGATCAAATTGATAATAGCAATGGGGTCGTATGGGCCCAACTTTTTTCTGAGTAATAGAGAAGTAGAGGAAGGGGAATATAGCGTCTTTCACAAAACGAAGAGGGAGTAAACCAAAAGAAAATGCGTGTAGGCCTCGTGGGCGTAACATGTTACTGTGAGGGTTAACGTTTCACAGAAAGTCTCGGCATTTAATCCGAAGCCGGCGACACGGATAGACAATAAGTCGTCTCACGCATCCAAATAAATAGATATATATATATCTCAAAGTAAACCACCAAAACACCAAGGGGAAGTCACTCGTACCACGCCTCGTGAACCGAGGAGAGCGCAGGATAGATACTCGAGTACTCGCGAACAGTTCCCAGTGTCCGATAACAATGTGGGACCGGGCGGTCGAATAAAACGTCCGTGTTTCTTTTTTCCCGGCGGTAAGAATCGGCGTGTTTTAAAAACCCCTTTACCTTTGTTCCTTGCGCAGCTTCAACGTACGTCGGAGCCGCCAGCGGCACAAAAGCGAAGTAGATACAAAGACCGCAATGGCTCATTTGCCCTGAATGACGGCGAGATCCTCTTCCGCGTAACAACGCGTAGCTGAACGCATGAATTATCGTACGTGGCATCTTGAGAACGCACTAATTGAAATTCCACGTGATTCCGCCGCAACGGGTTCGGCCGCCGACGGTTGGTAAAAAGAGGGAGAGAGAATCCTTCGCGGGCTCTTCAAAACCGAAGTCAACCTCGCAACCCCGCAATCCCGTTTCCGATATTCCCTCCTTTCGAGCCGAATAAAAGATGCTGTCTTTCTCTTTCTTTCTCTTTCTCATCCCTTGCCCTCTAGAATACCGTCCGTCTCGCCTTGAAGAGAGAATTGTCGATGACCGAGTTTAACGAGAGCTCCCGATGTTCCGGCGAGGAACATAAAGGAAGGGTTACACGCTTCGCGGACGATCTATATATCGGGGTTGAACGTTAACATCGTTCAAGGCAATATCTGTAAACACGAGGTTTCAGCGTGCGATGCGGTGGTTTGCACACCCGCGTTCACCTCGGACGTCGGGAATGAACGGGCGCGAGATCGCGGTCCAAGCGCTCGGATGCGCGCGCTCGCGTTACCGATCGTTTATGAAACGTTAAGGCGTGCGGGGCGTTTTACGCGTCTCGTTCCGAGAAGGGGCGCAATATTGGCGTGTTATACGATGAGCCAGCAAATGGTGCTATGAAGATCGTCAGTTTACGTGACGTACACCGTGATCGCGTGCGATGTAGCGATCAGCCTTTGTATCGAAGTATGATCTTCCTATGGGAGGCCTATTGGGTTACGCGCAGAGGAGAGCGGGCCCCCATGGGCAAAGGATGTCGTATTACCGCGGAGTCACAACATGCAAAGAGAGGAGCTCACGCGCGCAAGAAAGAGAGAGAGAGAAAAGGCAGGGAAGAAAGAAAGAAAAAAGAAAGGAGGAGCGAAAGAATCAGTCGGGGAAGATGCGCCGTGCCGTGTCGAACGGAAGCCCGCGATTACAATAACTCTCCATGTTGGGGTACGCCCGACACAAATGTGTGCAGTTTCTCCACCTCTTCTCTCCTCTTAACTCTACACCGAGACACGCCTTTCTTCTTTCGTGTACATCGAGAACGACACGATGAGGTGCGATGAAACGCTCCCTGTGTCCTTCCGTCTTTCTTCGTCGGACTACCTGCGATTGCTTTTGTATATTTTTTCTCCCCCCCCCCCTCCCCCCTCTCTTCGTTCATTGTCTTCATACAAGAGGATTTGCGGCGAAAACAGCGAAACGAGAATCCGGCTGTTTCGCCGTAATACCATCTTCATGATTCTTTAAAGAATAAACTATGGAATTTTGTATTTGCTAAAAAATATTACGCTTATCTCTGTTTTTTTGTCTCTCTCTTTCTCTTTCTCTTCTCTTTTTTCACGCGCGAGTCGCACCACTATTTTGCACGTTGGCGTCGCACGGTTCGTCCGAAAAATCACATTTGCTACGAACATAACCGAGTCTCCATTAACGAGGGAAACATCTCCGCTGTGCTATACGTGCCATACGTGCGCGTATCGTATATCTCTTTGTACACCGGAACATCAATTCAAACCGGCGAGAATTCCGCACCATTTTTCCAACCGCTGTGTCCGGGTAAAGCGATTGAACATCGCGGAATATTTTTTTCGCCATGCCGGAGAGAGCGAGCATCGAGCACGGGGGAGGGTGCAAAAGGAACGGTGGCACGGAGTGCGAGTAGGAGGAGGAGGACAAGGCGGAGGAGGCAGTGGAGGAGGAGGAGGTGAACGATAGAAGTTCTACCCTCCTCGCGCGGCGGTGTCGAGTATCCGTAATTCGAGATTCCGTGCGAGCCAATTTGGCGAGAGAGAGAAAGAAAGAGAGAGAGAGAGAGAGAGAGAAAGCCGATGGAAAAATAATACACCACCTACCAGCACACGGGATATCGGCGGCGAGCGTGCGGAGGCGAATTTTAACGGTCAACGCGAAACACGTGGGCAGGCCGTGTCGGGGAATATCGTGTTTCGACCGTTGGAGAAGATCCTATCCCTTCGTGAGCCCTAAGACGCTCGGAGATAGCCGCGCGCGCTTAGCGTTTTTGTTGGAAAAACAGCGTGACCGATGTATCGCCGTTCTCGTAGCCGGTTTACGGCCGAGATCCTTGCTCCCGAGTATTTAGCCAGACGAGACGATACATATCGACACCTTGCGATAACCGATAGCTTCCCCCCCCCCCCCCTTTCCGTGTACTCGAGAACCAGGATGACAACTGTTTTCTAGGGTGGAGCACTTCTGACAAATCGCGATATATAAATCGCACAGCGAGTCACGAAGGATTTTTATCGGGTCAGTCGAAAAATTCAGTGCTCGATTCATAGCCGAAATATGCGACTTTGTTGCGTTCAATGGAGATAAATTATTCATTCGCCAAAACGTCCTTGCAACCTCTGTATACCTCCATCGTGGATGGTTGATTTACCTTCGAGAAATTTACCTTCGATTGAAAATCGGACTGAACTTTCGTACCGATTCAGTAAATTAAACTCTAATCCAATTTACGGATGGTTATCGATATGTACAAAATTACGGATATTTTTTTCAATTTTACCGTGTTGACCCTCGACTTGTCGCAATTTATTAAAAAGACACTCAGCGCTCGCGCGCAAGAGCTGTCTGAATGAATTACGCCGTGTGTAGGTGAGAGCGGTTTTTCGTAAGTTCCCTCCCGAACAGAAAAATTTCCCGAGGCACGCGCTTCGTTAATCAAGCGCGGCCGACTGACTTAGCTCCGGCTCTCGGCGAAACATATTTTTGTAACGGTCCTCTATATTACGATTCGTTAAGCCAGCGTCTGCATTAACTGAGCTAATCCCTTAATTACGTTCCTCTTATTTCTCCGCTCTCGCTCCTTCCATCCCGCCCTTCCGGCGGCGACTCTCACGCTTCCTACATCATCCTTCACTTGCTAATTAAAGAATTTGATGAAGTCCCGCGGTGTTGCGCGCCCGTACGCGGAAAAACACGACGGCGTATACACGCGCGCGAAAATACGACTTTCGCACGCGCACAGAGCGCGATGTAAGTTGCAACGCAACGTTGCCGCAAAGTCGCCGCATTATTCAACGTGCCTGCGAGTATCGCGCCGAATTCAATTAGCGTAATCAACGGGCAAAATTGTCGGTCACGAAAAAGCTCTATTTCGCACGTCTAGTAATCACAGATACGACACGTTGCGCGCACAAGCACGCGAGATAACTCCGCGATAAGACGAAATTATAATGGGAATATATTAAACTTGGTGTCGTTAACGCGCTCGCCCCGTTATCATCGACGCGCGACGTTATCGTCAATTAATTGTATCTCGTTTCGGCATGACGGATCTATAATGCCGGATTCTTACAATATTATACGTTGCAAAATGCGCGTTACGTACATACGTGTATGCACGTACACGCATCTGTTCTCGCAACGCCATATTGCGCTCGCCAAGTGTGCGCATCCGTACGCGCGTTTCGCGCGTCGCGTCGAAAACAGCCGTCGCATGCCGCGGAGAGGAGAGAGAGAGAGAGAGAGAGAGAGTGCCCGCCGATTTTCGCCGCGGCAGGGTTTTATCTGATTAAACCGACGTAGAAACATGGGGTTATACGTGTAAGCTTCCCGGGCCCGTCTATGGGGAGAGGCCGAACAAATGAATAATGAAAATAAAACCCTGGTGATGCTATCGGTAAGCACCACGGGATTACGTACGCATCAGCGCGCCCGCGATGAACTTATATTATGGAACCCCCTCTCCCTCCCGCCCCGTACAAGCTGTGCTACATGCACACGTTAACGTGCGTGCGTACGTGCGTGTGTATGTGCGCGCGCGAAACCGCAAGAAAAGCAAGCGGCTTTTTCGCGCGTAAGAGTTCGACAAGTTCCTCCCGCGTCAACCGGGACGAGGATTTAAATGACAAATCAGGGGACGTAACGCGGTGATCCGCTACCGCGGAAAGGGATACCTCGCCGTGTCTACAAATGCATCGTGTGCATTTTCGAGAAAAACTCAAGAGTCGCGACTTTTATCACGGCTCGTTGCGCAATTTGCACGAGTGATATCAGGGATGGAAAATTTATCGTTAATATTACTAATAACATTATTGTTATTACTGGTTTTGAAAGGCGGTAAGACGAGACAGAAGAGGTAGAACGAAGCGTCTCACGAGCGCGCGCATTCAACGACTCGATCGTACGCAATTGTCGCGCGTATATCCTGCAAATGGATTACCCACGAGAGAGAGGGACGCAGGGTGTAAGTGTCGTCCGTAATAGTTGCCAAATATATCCCGCTCGTCGGGACACGCCGATTATGCCAAGGTGTGAACTTACTGGCGCGGGGAATAACTGTTCGCGGGCACAAAGGACGACGGAGCTCCCGTGGGCCAAGCCGCTTAGGATCAATACCTCGATCCTTCGATCTCGTCGCTTCCTCGCCCCGCTGAGAGCGCGTCCATTCGGGCACAATGGTAAATGGTCGAAATACGCTTCTTTAAAATACTCGCCGGGGCTAACTCCCTAACTCCCGTGACTGGCAGGAACTTCTCTCGCCGAGGAGGCTGATCTCAGCGATCAGGCTCCCGGACAAGGCACGCTCCGCACTCGCGTATAATCTCGCGTTATCTAGTCGCGTACAAACGGCCTGTCGACCTATTTCGCGAGCACTTCCGGTGCCACGGTGATCCCGCCGGAGTACGACGCTAATCCCGAGGGGATAAACGAGAAAGATCGCCTCGACGTAACCGGGCTTTCGTAGAACTGCCAGGTAGACGAGGATGGAAATCGATAGCTCGCGGCCGGTACCTTTTTCCCGTGGCCTCGTCGATCTGAGACGATGATAACGCGCCACTTGAATACGTGCGTTCTAGTCGAGTAGATGCGGAAAATTCGGTCGCGTCGCCACGCCAAGTCGAGAGAGACTCGCCTCGCGAGACGAGATCCAAAAGAAGGGAGGAAAGAAGAAAAGGCGAATCTGCGCGAAATCGGTCTTTCCCGCTTTCGAATGAGAAAAAAGGAAAGGAGAAGGCGTGCTGCATGGTGCTCGAAGTGACAACGAGACGTTTTAAAAGGCCACCCATTCGCCCCGAGCTAAGATGTAACATAACAAACAGCCCGGGGAAACGTATTTGCCCGGGGCGATATCGAGTTCCCGGGCACTTCCTGCGCTTCTTCATCGTTTTCTTCTTCGTGGCGCCGTTGCAGTCGGCGACTTGACATGCCGCAGATTGACGAGCGCCACCCCCGAAGACAGCAGGAATAGAA